AGGGAAGAGGGGGTCCTGGCACAGCCAACTGGACAGCTGCATGAAGTAAACTCCCTGGCCTCCTTCAGTTTATGACTACTGCATCCCTTCATTCCCGTCTCCGTGGACACCCTCTTGTTTTGAAAACTCACCCATCACCTCTTGAGACCTCCTCTCCAAAATCTTATCTACCAGAACCAGCATCACCCACTCAGTAAGAGGGAGGACCACTGATGTGGAAAAGAAAACCACAGTTCCTGAAGTCAAACCTGAGAGCGCAGGTGAGATGGGTCATCCATTACTGGATGCTTGCTGGGTAAGCTGGGTGACCTCAATGTAATCCGAGGATCCCACATGATGGTGGAAGGAGAGAACTGCCACGATATGCTCGTCATGGTGTGTGTGGCATATGCCATGACAATAATGAATATTCATGTAAAGTGTTTTTCACGTATTTACTTTATTTCATGAGTGTGTTTTGCTTGCATGTGTGTATGTGCACTGTGTGGTGCTCACAGAGATCAGAAGAGGGCATCAGTTTCACTGGAGCTGGAGTTATAGTTGTGAGCCACTTCGTGAGTGCTGAGGACCTAACCTGGGTCCTCTGGGTTTATATATATAGTATATGTGTATATATACACACATGCCAGGCTGCCAGAAAGCACAATAGGCCCTATTCTACTCAACCATGCTCATCTTGGGCAAACACAAAATGACTAACAGTTTGTTGGGCCTCCATAGTCCCCTGGGTTCAAGATTCAGCTCAAGCTGTCCTTAAACTCTTAGGATGGTAACCACATTTGGCCAGTTCAACAGACTCAGCATGTTGTCCCCAGAATCCTTTGAACATACAAGGTGTACATGTCTAGTGTCTGCAGCCCACTCTGGTGGGAACAGTGTGAAAGAAGACACTAATCAGAAACTACATTTGACCTTTCTATGAGGTAGGGTCTGTCTTGCCTGAAATCCTCACACACTGGGATCTCGGTGGCATTGACATTAAAGGAATCAATCTTTCTGCTCCTTCAGGAGCCCCTGAGTACCACAAGGCCTTCCTTATAGCATCTGCCTTGAGGGTAAGGCCATGGATGCCCACATAACTAGGGAGATGGCCCTCACCATGGAAATGGGGACAGGCATGGTTCTATCCTTCTTGGGATGAAGGTGGACACACACAGTAAATAAGTCCTAGCTGGCAGAAAGGAGAGGAAGGAAGCGCACAAAGAAAGGACACACTACACTGTGTCCCGGACTCTAGGCAGAACTAGGGCAACCTAGAGTGAGAGATGAGGGTGAGAACAGGCTAGCTACTCCCAGAGCTGTCCTAGGAGTCTCTAAGAGTGACTCAGTGTGGGGCTGTTCTGGGACTGAGGTGATCCCCACAGGCATGGATGGCAGTTGAGGGATCTGAAAGAATGGAGAGTAGTAAAGAGAAGCTGACAGGACCTGAAGCCAGCCAGAAGACCCCTGAAGGAAGCGAGCTGCCAAGGGTAATGATGTGCTGTGGCAAGGAAAGTCATAGAGGGAGATGGGAAATGGGGCTGTGGAAACCTCCGAGTGGGAACATAAGCTGGGAGCCTGGGAGGGACGTGGAGAGAGGGTACCAGGCTTGTCCGTTCTTGCTCATCTCATCTTCTTGGCTGTGGCTCAGAGTCCCAGCTGCAAAGGCCACTGTGAGTTGTCATGAACCTGCCACATGGCCCCCTGCTTCCTGGTCAGGTATACTTTTGTTAACAGGCCTGATGGGCCCCAAGGCCACCATCTACTAGTCCGTTCCAGGGTGACAGAGACACGTCATGGATCATCTTGTCAGTGGCTCACTGTGTTGTTCTCCAATGGCAAGAGTTGCCATTGGAGAGTTGAGCAGACGCTGTGGCCAAGCCCAGATGGTGTGGTAATGCCCAACTCTGTCAGCCTTTACAACCAAGTCCAGAAAGAAAATGAGCTGGACCCAAACCGGCTGGCTTCCCTTGTGGTCACGCTGGCTCCCAGCTCTTGCTTATTCTTCCAAAGGCTTGAATACCACTTCTCCAAGACTAGTAGTCATGCCTGGGGTCTGGCTAGTGGAGAAATCATCCTGACACCAGATCCCCTTGCCCACCTACCAAGAGCTCTACCTTTCGACTGCATCTGTACCTGAGCCTAGTTTGGCCCCTGTTCCCTTTCCCCAGTTATCTGGGTTTTAATATTTGCGTGGGCTGGCTGGAGAATGGCTGGCTACTGTGATGGTAGAAGCACTGTGAACCCAAAGATGGAAGCCCAGACGCAGTCCCTCTCCCGTTAGGAGCTGGAGGCCTAGGAGACACCACAGGCTCCAGCTCCTCCCTCCACTAGGCAGTGAGGTCAGCTGCTGCAAATTGCTAGTTATTCTTTTCTTCAATTAAGGACAATTCTTCTGATACAGGAAGTTAACTCCCACCAGCTAATCTAACGGCCTTGAGTCCCGATGTGTCTGCTCTGTCTGAAGGCAGGGATGAAGCTGCCTCAGCAGTCACTCCAGGTCTGTGCACAGAAGCTACCTGAGAGGCTAGGCTGTGCAAGCCCTGCTGGGCTCCAAGCCCACCTCTCAGGGGAGCTTCACACCGGCTGGAGTTGCAGGGAAGGCTTAGAGGGGAGTCAGGTAGCTTGCTTATGGAATGGGGAGGGTAAATTGCAAGATGCTACATAGCTCTGTGTGTGTGTGTATGTGTGTGTCTGTGTGTCTGTGTGTGTGCATGTATGTACATGTGCATATATATGTACATAAGTAGATGTGTATATGAATATCTGTGTGTACATTCACATGCACACAGACCCAGGAAAACACATCTGCTTATTTGTGATAAGAGCCCCTAAGATTCTCCTGTCCGAGTCTGGTCATTCCAACCCCTAGACTACTGACCTTGGGAAGGGTTGGGTGGACCATACAGATGAGGTACCAAGCAGATGGCTGTGTGTGTGTGCACATGTACACACACACACACACACACACACACACACACACAGTGCTATACCAGGAAACAGGACAGTGGTCACTGTGGTCACTGTTCCTTCTGAGAGCCACAACCTGGGGTGGTACTTAGGCCCAACTGTGTCCCTTCTGTGACAGGTTTCATTATGTTTTCTGTAGTCAGTGGTATCCACTGTCACCACTTATGGACCCATAGTCCAGGTGGCCAGATGGAGACATTGTACAAACTGCTAAATCTCTGAAATTCCCAGAGCCACAGGGAAGTATAAGGGTGAGGAGACCCAGAGGGACAGAGCTCAGGCCTGAAGTAGAATTCTGTAGGCCAGTGAATTTTCTTAGCCTGTTTCTTCTGCATAAACTAGGAATGACACAATACACCCCAGAGGGTGTATTGTACATCCAGACTTAACAAAAGTTCACACAGAAAGCCATATACAGACTGCAGTTCCAATATGGGGGAGCACTCCAGGGTTGGGGTGGAAAGGGGGTATCCGTGCCCTTCCTGCTAGTAGCCAGTGGCCTGAGCTGGTGAACAGCTTTGAATTCATGACTTTGGGGCTCCTAAACTTCCGTGTCTACAAGACTCCGTGTTGCTGTCCCACTCTCGAGCCCTTGGGACTAAAGGGCTTCTTGAGAGGTAAGACGGAAAAACAAGATGGGCAATCTTTGTCAAAGCATGAGTGGAGGATCCTAGGAAACCCTGGTTCGGTAGATGAGGCATCAGAAGGCAGGGAGAGGTCCATAAGTAAGTGGTACAGGATACAGATTTCCGCCGAGGTGAAAGACATCTTTTTTTTCTGCTAGCTTTGTGCAAAAGTTTTGGGAAGGCTCTTGCCTAAGGGACTGAGCGTTTGATAGAGGCAGTAAAGGCTGATTAACAAGGATAGACTGGAGGAGTCGAAGACCAAAAGTGGGTGTGTCCGTGGAGGCCCCTTGTGTGCTTTGTTTCTATGGGGGAGTAGATGGGACACTAAAGTCCTGGCTGCCCCAGGGGTGGAACTGTCTAGTGTCCAGGGTGGGTGCTTGGCTTCAGACTGTGGGAGAAAAGCAGGCTTCAGGGAAGACCCAACAGTCCTCTGAGGAGCCTCGCCCTCACCCTACCCGGCCGCCGGGAGGAAGTATCCTAGCCTGGAACTGAACTAGGGCTAGTCTCTCCAGGATCCTATCTTCTAGGCCCCATCTAAAATGACTATCTCCTGTGGATCCCCTGATTGCAGCGGACAGAAAACACAATTTATATGTCTCAGGAGGCCTGTTAATTAGAATGTTTGCACTTCCGTAAGAAAAGTGTTAGGGGGACCCTGCTTTCTGCCAGGCCCTGCATAAACCCTGCTCAGCCTGGACTGGCAGGTGGGGTTTGCAGGTTTAACGGGTCCTTTAGCGTTAAAGGACAAAGGCTTTTCTCTTTTGAGACTAGAGTAGATCCAAGCATCCAGCACCCCTGGAGTTGAGAGCTGATAGAGAAGTCCCCTCTCATTTCTGTGAGACTTAGTTCTAGGTTTCTCAGTCTCTTGGGTCCTGGTCTTCCTTGCTCTCTCACTCTGTCCTCACAGACTCTAGCTAGCGCCAATTTCCTTGAATTTCTCTCTCTCCCAAGGCTGTTTCTGCCCTAGGAGTGTCTCTTTCTGGTGCTGTGTCTCAGGGTCACTGCGCCCCAGGCTCGCAGTCCAAGTCTCCATCCCTGCCCGGCCCGCAGCGTCTCCGGGCTGTATAATCCCGAGTCTGTCTACGACTGTCGTTCCGCGAGGGTCGGGGTCTCAGTGGCCGCATCCAGTGGGCTGCGCCTCCCGCGCGCTGCGGTGGCCGCGCGGCTCGGGCGGGGGTGCGGGCCCGCGGGGGCGGTGTCGGGCGCCTTCCGTCGTCAGTCCCTCCCCGGCGGCGCGGAGGGGGGGCGGCGCGGCCGCCGCTCGGCTCCTTTAAGGGAGCGGGAGGGAGCGGCGAGGCGGCGGCGGTTGCGGTGGAGGCGGCCGAGCGAGCGGGGCGGGGGCGCGGGGCGCGGCGCCCGGAGAGTCCGCTCCGGCCGAAGGCGCGGGGGCCGGGCCGGGAGCGAGCAGCGCCGGCAGCACAGCGGAGCCCGCCGCCCGGGACATGGCCAAGGCGGGCAACGCAGGTGAGCGCGGCGCGGGGCGCGCGGCGGGTGGCAGGAGGGATCGCTTGGCCCAGGTGAGCCCCCCCCACCAGGTGGGCGGAGGCGCAGTGACCGCGGCGACCCGTCCGGACCCCCGGGCGTGCAGAAGGGGCTCCGCGCGCCCTGCGTCCTTCCCGCGCCCCCAGTCACCTCGTGGGACACCGCATCCTGCTTGCCCCGCTGCGTTGGGTCAGGTCTGTGGCTCCTCAGTCCAGTTGGCAGTTGAGAGCTGTCGCTGCCCTCCGGGAGACCGGGGGAGTAGACCCCGGCACCGGAACCCAAAGGAGATGTCCTGTGGCCGCCGATCCATCCCACGCCCAACAAACCAGGACGCGCCCCCTTGTCCTGTCACTCTGTATCCTGGATGCGACAATCCCACCCCCCCTCCGCCCCTGCCACCAGCTGGGTCAGGAGACCCAGATTACTGGTCCCGCTGCTAGAGGGGTACTCTGCCGCTGGGGAGCCGCCCCGCCCCCCATCCGACCCAGAGACAGAGCCTCAGGTGCCAGGCTAGGCAGGCGGGGCCTCTGTTATGGTCCCATGGGCTCTGCTCTCCTGCAATTTCAGAGCTGTAGCCCAAGGTTCGCAGGGAGTAGGTGTTAGTCGTCCCTTCATTCATCCAGTCAGGCATTCATTCACCAGCATCTGCTCTGATGTCAGGCCCTATGAGTTGGCTAGGACCTGGAGGGGACCAGATTTAGCCCCTGACTCCCCGCTCTGCACCCTGGGCCCCCACAGTGCTCTAGATGGCCAAGTTGGGGAAAGACTGTATTCATAGGGCTGGCCACAAACGGGCGAGGCTGGTCTCAACAGTCCCGAGCTTGGGAGCTCTGTCGTGTGAGAATCTGCCATGAACTCACACCCAGCCTGTGATGTTGGCAGGTGCCATGCTATCCCCGTGGGGTCTGGTGTGAACCACACTTCTCCATCCATAGGCAAAGATGGAATGAATATGATCACCTGCCCACGCTCTAGATGTGAGTGCCATTGAGCTGCCTGCGACCCTGGGACAGGTCCCAATCCTTGGCATGGACTGGCCTTGTGACTCAGGTGCCTGTTATTACAGAGAAATCCTGTCAGGGAGAGGCTGGTTGTGTGAGACAGCATAACCAAATGCATCTAAACACCCCCTTTCCCACTTCCCTCCCTTCCCCTCCTGAGGGAGGCACAGTGAGATGACACCAGGAGGCTGGAAAAGGCTCTCTGCTCCCTTCTTTCTCCTGCCTTGGTCCCTCCCCACCCCTGCTCTTCATAAAGGAAGAGCATGTGTCTCTGCTGCCCTTTCTACATGTGCTCATGTGTAAGCACAGGTCTGGATGCCTGGATCTAGGTCTCTTGCCAGGGGATCATAGTAGCAACAGTAGTTAGAGAAATCTCTTCTTGACCTGTGTACCAAGTAATGTACTCAAGCCCTTTACTGCCTCTTGATCCTGAGACATAGGAAGGCACACCTCCTTTTAAAACCATTGGAAGCAAATAGCTCCTTGAAGGTGGCTGGGAAGGTCTAGGCAAAGCCTGGTTGCAAGACCAAGGTTTTGTTTTGTTTGTTTGTTTGATTTTGTTTGTTTGTTTTTTTGGATGCTAAGGAATCTTTCTACTCCCCTCCTCATTCTGGGAGAGGTCCTATGCATTGGCTTGTGGGTCTTTTGGTCCCTAGCCAAGATCTGTGGGGAGAGTACCCCGTGGAAGGTGAAGAAGTGCCAGGCCTCCCAGCACTGTTGTCAGGGGCTGTGCTACAACTTGTCCATTTCACACTCTCAGTCCTGTCCCTCAGGGCAAGCCAGACTTTCCTTCTCTGTGACCACCTGCCTGGTGCCTCTGTCCCTTCCTTAGCTGCCACCCCAAGAAGCTCTGCAGATAACCTCTGGCAAGATCTGACTACTCTTTCCTTCTCAACTCTCCTGGGCAACTTGGCAGCCTGCAAACATCCCTTCTTTTTCTTTAGCTGCCTTAAACCCAGTGACTTGAAAATGCACAGTACGGAGGAATGTCTGGTCTCTCTCACCAAGTACATTTATGTTGAATTATATTGTTAAGCTTTACAACAGAGGTGGCCAAGTCCTTCTATTCATAGCTGGGGAAACCGAGGCCCAAGAGAGAAAGATGGCAGTTCAGTACTACACACAGACTAAAAGGCAGAAGAGTCAGCTCTCCACCCTGAGAGGTGAGATTAGACTAAAGGGAGGTTGTAGGAAATCTTGTCCACGAGTGAGGGGGGTCTGCTTCCTGATTTGTGTGAGATTTCCTCTGAAAACTGACCAATGGTCCAGCTGCTGAGAGAGGAGATGGGCTTTGAGTCCTGGGACTGTTGTACCCAACTCCAGGCTGTACACTGTACAGTTCCACCAGCACATCATGGTGAATGGTGGTGCTGGAGCGGTACAGTGTACATCCTGAGCAGCCAGCCAAAGCTATGCCAGCTGTGCCAGGAAGGCAGTTCAAGGACTTTCGTGTAGCTAGGAGAATCCAGGCACAAGAGAAAATGTAATCAGATCCCAGAAAGGATGAGATTAATTTGCAGAGTGGATCCAACTTGATTATTACCAGTCTTCAAGCTTTGGGGGCAATCTCAGCCACACAGAAATCAGAATAGTTGGCCATCTCCAATACTTGGAAAGGAAGAATGCTCCTTGGTCTTGTTCTGTGGACAAAGAAAGACAGGATGAAAACCAGAGAAGGAGGTGGGGAGAACAGGACAGGAACTCTATAAAGGAAATGATAATTCTCTGCATAGAGCCACCCATGGCCAGAGGAAGCAGCAGGTTGGAGCAGCGAAGGCTGGGTTCTCTAGCTGGATCTTCAAGGCTAGCAGAGTTTAGACAGAACGGTGGCAAGGGCCAGGCTTCCTGGTCCTGGAGAAGCAAAGGCTGAGAATCTGGATAATGGGGAGATGAGTAAGTGTGCAGGGGCTGCTACAGAAACATCTGGGTGGGCTGGGGTGCCAGGTTCCTAGAGACTTGGTGCAGAGGTCAGAAGGAACTCCAGAGAGTGGGGGCCAGCAGAGAAGTGGTAAGGCTTGTGCGTTTGGACAAATCCTTCTGGCACAATGTGAGGGCTCTGGAGGCTGGAGGGCTGCCAGTATGGGAGCTGCCTCTGTTGGGAAGGGCTTGCTCTGCCTCTGCCAGCAGCCCTGCCCCTCCCTTCCTGTGAACCTTGCAATGACCCTCTCTCTCTGTATCTCAGCAGGACAGCAGGGTTGGTTTGTCCCCAGCCAAGTGCAAGTGGGAGACCTGGATCCTCACTTGGGTCAGGCAGAAACTCAGCAGACAGCCAATAGAGTCTGTAAAGCTGTTGGAGAAGGGCAGGAATGTTTGGAGAGCCCAGAAACCATGTCACAGGGCTGGGGAGGAATTCCAGGCTGGAGGAACCAGTTTATGCCATTTCCAGGTGTTGGCCTCTGCTCTCAAGAGGAGGAGCTGGCTGATGGGGTACAGCAAGCCTAGTCACCAACAGCAGAAAAAAAAAGATCAATCTGATGGGTAGAAGCTGGGCAGGGGGCTTGCTTGCAGATCCTCAGGTTCAAAGCCTTGATTAACAAGGGGGACACCGAGGCCTAGGTGTGTGCTCAAGGTCTCAGGGAATGGTAACAGCAGGCATGAGAGCTCTAGGAGGAAGACCTCCTCCCTCTGGCAGGGACCAGGGACCAGTGGCCCAGCAGAGGAAACAACCAGAAGTTAGGGGACAGGACCAGGGCTGGGATTCACTGCACTCTGGAAAGATGGCAGAAGAATTGAGGTGCGTGGAGAAACTCTCAGGCCTAGGGTACCAGGATAATGTCCCTGCGTATCTTGGGAAGACCATCACCTCTGCAAGGGGACTGCAGTAAGACTCCAGGACTTCCTCAAGTTCTGCCTCCAGGAAGCCTTCCTGGACTTGCTGAGGTCAGGCAACACATAAGTTCACAGAGGCTGACACACAGGGTGCTGTTGGAGACCCTTCCCAACCTCTTGGTCCCATTGGAGACTCCTGTGCCTTGGGCTGTGTTGGGGAGTAGAGAAGTGGGAGACATACTCAACACAGCTTGATGTCTTTCTCCATTGCTCCCTAGGGGCAGTGTCTGCAGCTGGTGGGTAGGGTGAATGACTGCAAACTGTAGTAGTTCCCAGCTAGAAGTTTGGAGACTTCTAGTCCACCTGTTAAAGGTGTGTGTGTGGGGGGGGGGGGCAACACACTGAAGAGTTGTGTCTCAGTGGTTAATATATATGCAAGCCAAACACGCATAAAATAAAATGAATAAATCTAATTTAAAAATTTATAATGGGGTGCAGATTGAGACAGGCAAAGGGTCCTTTTCTGAATCAAGGGCAGGACCATGAACTCCAGAAACCAAGGCTTTGAGAGTTGGAGGAGTCTTAGAAAGAACCAGCCTGTATCCAGAAGTGCTCTGAGATGCCAGGCCTGCAGAAAGGAGGCCAGGACTAGGGGTTTACAACTGGCTTCTTTTTATGGAAGCCCTCGTAATTATTTCCCCTTTGATGGCCTGACAGCACCTCTTTGCAGGGATGGGGTGTGGGGTTAGGAAGGGTACGGACGATGGATACATACACACAACCACAGTGTTGTTCCTATTTTAAAAGATGGGAAAACTCAACTCCAGAAAGGTTGAGTATCTGGTTCTAGATTCATCCGTGGACTTGGAGGCAGACTGGAACTAGCAAGTAGGACTCTTCCATTCCTGTCTAACCTGGCCTGGGTTGACCTTGAACTGCCCCCTCTGAGACTTAGCTTTTACCTCTGTAAGAAGGAATGGGGAAGGAGAGCGTGGGCTCTGGAGGGGCTGGAAGTTCTACACCGCTCTAGCTGAGTTCTTTTTTTTCTACCCACCCTCTCCCTGGGGTCTGTCTATCTTTACTGCCTCGCCTCTCACCTCTCACCTCACGTGGATGGGATTTGGGGGAGTTGAGGGTTAAGGAACCCCAGGGAGTCAAGGACTTTCACAGCCAAAGTCTTATAGGAGGTCTCAGACTAGCTTGTCACCAGGG